CAATCAAAACCTAGCTAGTTCTAACACATAGGATAAGTTGGTTTAACATATACCAAAAGAAAAAAACATAGCAAGTGAAACTGAAACCTATAGAAAATCAGTAACAGTGGACTCAAAGGCATAATGTACTCAGGAAGTCAGAGGCAACTTTATATGGAGTGGGCCTCTAGACCAAACATGTCATCAAATCAGATCATTCTTTTTCACTATCAATAATTTTTTCCTTGTCTGTAAGGGGAAAATATCCAACCATAGCTCCATCACAGGTTTTGTGGAGCAAAACTTGCTTTCAAGTTTAATCACTTGCTTTGTCCTTCTATTTGCTCTTGTTCTATTTAATTTTTTTGTATGCAGACCGCATCCTGAAGGGAAAATCATTTTTAAACCTAATTCTTATGGATATCCTCACCCCAGGAACGTTTTGTGATTGTTTATTTACTCCTTACACAGGGGGAGGAAAGGCAGGAACTGGTTAGAGGCAAGAAGGGTCGGGACTGCCCCAGAATTAAACCTTCAGTGTCTGGTCCGTTAAAATCAGTTTCTAGAGCACATAGATCTATCCATGTTCAAGTCACTCCAAAGCCTCATGTATGATTTAGGGATCATCATCCGCTGCCCAGACCATCACAGAAGAGTCTCAACACCCTGCAGCTGAAGGGAAGGGGCTTGGGAAACCACATTTGCGATGTTCTCCTAAAGCAGGGGTCCTCAAACTTTTTAAACAGGGGGCCAGTTCACTGTCCCTCAGACCATTGGAGGGCCAGACTATAGTTTAAAAAAAAACTATGAACAAATTCCTATGCACACTGCACATATCTTATTTTGAAGTAAAAAAAACAAAACGGGAACAAATACAATATTTGTATGTGCATGTGGCCCGTGGGCCATAGTTTGAGGACCCCTGTCCTAAAGCCTGGAGCCGTGAAAGGAGACCAAAGAAAGCATCGGTGATCACTTGCAGATGCTTTATTATAGGAAACTAGAGGCCTGGTGCACAGATTCATACACATTGAAAGTAAATTAATTAGAAGGTGGCCGGCGGGGCGGGACTGGGAGAGACGGGCTGGACACACCCTGGAGCCAACCTCCTGCGGGCCCTCCCTGGCCGGCCGCACCTGGGGAGGCACCGGTGCTCAAAGGGCATCTGCTGAGTGAGTGGGGTCCCTCCCGCAGGTGGGGTCCCTTGGCCTGGCCTGCGGGGATCAGGCCAAAACCCCGCAGTCCAACATCCCCCGAGGGGTCCCGGAGTGCGAGAGGACACTCTGCAAAGTTGCTTTTGCTTGGCAGCTCTTGCGTTGAGGTTCTGCCTCCTGGTGGTCATTGTGCATCATAGTTACTGGTTGAATGGTCAGCTTTTATATATTCTCTCTCACACACACACACACACACACACACACACACACACACACACACATTGGAGATGAGACAGAAGTGGGGTGGCTAGGCATAAGTAGAACTCAACTCCAAGGTGGGTGTGTGCCTCCTGCAAGCCCCAGTGTGAAGGCTTGGGCCCTGTAACCTGGAGTGAAAAGATGGGAAAGGTGGAACATCCAAGAGGCGGGTCTCCAGAGACCATTGCTAGAGGAGCTCTCCTCTCTGTGTAGAATAGGGGAGGTAGCAGGAACTCAGCACAGCTAACCTCTTGCATGAACCATAGAAATGTTGGCCGGTCAGGGGCATCGAGGGAGTGGAGTGTGGAGGCTGACACGGTGAGCGCAGCCATTTTTGTTGGCTAGCAACTCAGGAGAGTGGTGGCTGGGGGTGGTCCATAGAACACACCCTGAGAGGGAAGCCGGCATTCAAGGAAACCAAATCTCTCTGGATTGGGGTGGTGCCCCCACGGCGTTGGCAACGTGGTGGCACTGACATAAGAAAGGCCTCAATTATACTAAAGACTTTGAGGTCTCCATGTTGGAGGATGGATCTGACTGAAATCTACCATTCCTTGGCAGACCCTGGTTGCTAACTGGGTTCAAATTTTTAAAAACAGAGTCTAGCATGTATTTCTACACAGAGTCCCGTCACCCAACTTGCACTTCTGGGAAGCCTATGAACTCCCTGCCCCTGCACTGAACTCCCTGCCTGCACAGTGTTTCTGCCATCTGAGCCAGCCCTTATTAAAGAGTTCCTGGAATCCTATTTCAACTAATAAGACTGAGGCTTTCCCCACACAATGGGAGTGCCCAGCTATAGGGTCCTTCAACATCTTCACCAAACAGAGCAGCTCCACTCTGACCTTTTCAACCAATCAACTGCATGTATTTGGAGTTCTCATTTGCATGAGAATTGCATGAGAACTGACCAATCAGGGACCAGAGGCAGGACCTTCTGTCCATATAGGCTCCCTCCACTCTGGCTATGGGAGCACACTTTTCCTTCCCAGCGAAGGGGGAAGACTGCATTTTCCTAGCTGTGCTAACACACACCTGAGCTGTCTTCCCGGAGCGGAGCAGAGTAGACCAGCACAGTGCAAAGTGATGGGCCTGCAGTGGAGCAGAGCTGTCTAGCTGGCGAGGGACCTGGCCCCCAAAGCATGGCTACACTTTACTACAGAAAAAGTTACATATTTAATAATTTATTGTGCCAAATGCCATTCCTTTTGTTTTTGAACAAATTCTTTTATCTGGTACATACAGATATGAGAAAATTCATGTCCATTGAAGGTTCCTAATTTTTAAGAAATAACTTTCCAGTTGCCCAAGAAGTATATGTTCATTACAAGAAAAAGGTAGAGTGGTGTCGGAAACTATCTATCGTCTTCACTAGCAGAGAAGAGTAGAGACCCCCAAAAGCTAGTGACCTTTGAAGCCCTAGCAAAGGTCGGAGCTGTGCACCACCCAGTTAATCTAGATAATGGTAGCTGAAGCATCATCCCCACCTTAATTCACTTAATTCCTTAGATACTCTTGTAAATCCTTGTTGATTAGATATTCTGCCTCTTTCTGGAAATTGTCTGCTGATGAGCTAATCTGTGTGTCATTGAAATCTCCTTACCTAAGGGCTACTGGCTACTCCAGATCAATAAAAGGTTGGAGCAGCCTGAGCATCAGTGGAAGTCCTTCTGGACTTGCCCGCCTGGTCCCCCAATATTTCCAAATTATCTCGTGCCTTTTCTCTTTCATTTGTGTGCAGCCCCTCTTTCAGATCCCGAACCCTAATCCACGCAGGACGTGGAGGGAAACACACCCGACAGAGTGGTGTCCAAGTTACTTAACATATTCTCAGTCACTCCCCGAACTCCTCTCCCATTCTTCCAACTCACTTCCAATATCCCTCCCAGTTCTGGGTGCATGTGGTTTTGTGCCTGGTCCTCCTTATAGGCACAAACAGTAGGATACTTTGTTTTCAATACCTGTCTGCATGTTTACAACTCTGTAGACCTTTCTGGACAAGGTAATCGATTAGGTCAAGCATCTGCAGAGATGTCCTACTTATGAGCTAAACCAATCTAAGGGCACCTAGAGATTTGCTGACACAGGCAAATATCAACTCCCAAGTCTTTTATCTTAATTCGAAATGTTTCACTAGACCAGGAGATGTGGCTACTTTATATTCACAAACTTATTTACTAAGAACTCTGAACATTATTACATTGTTTTCACTTTAGAGCCAAAAATTAAGTCTTGACACAGGCTATCCATTCTGCCTTTGCTGGTACTGCTCTCTCAGCCAGGCCTTCCCATCTACACCCAGTCCCCAAACCCTGGCTCCTACCCAACTTTCTTGACACTTCCCACATGCCATCTCCTTTGGGAAACCTTTTTCCTCCAAAGTGGTGCTGTGCCCCTCATGCATACACCACCCAGTGACCAGCACTTCATATCTATTTCCTTTGCCTAGTTCCCTCCCACCTAATTTGTGGTTAGAATTTATGTAGTAACCATACTTTTTAAACCTAATTTGTACCTAAAATTTATGTAGTAAATTTTTCTGAAAAAAGTTGTCCCTTGAACTCTTCAACTTGGCAATTTATTTTACCATCTCAAGAATGGTAAAGATACATGGGTTGGGCTTTGGCATTAATTAAAGTAATGTAGGTTTGACATCCAGCTCTAGTACTAATGGCTGTGTGACCTTGAACTTAACATCTCTTGAGGCAGTTTTATCATTTCGAAAATAAAGACCTACTTCTCTGTGAAGATTAATGCATAAGAGTGCAGAGCACACCACCTGTCCAACTCATGCTTGGTGTTAGCTGCTGTTGAAGTTCTCAAGAGTAATTTAATTTCATCAAAAGGAGAGATTTAACCAAAAGGAGGTAAAGAATAATGTCAGTTGATTGGGAACTACCCAAAATATATTTTATAATAATTTGCAACTTGACCTACATTGAGATTAACCTGTAATTTTTACTTAACATTTGTAATTTATTACACTCCACAGAATCAGTATCAAAATACATCTTAAATGGTTTGAAAATGTATCTGACTCCTTTAAAATGCTCTAATAAAAAAACCCAGAGATGTGAAAAATGAAAAAGAATGTTGGCACCATCTAAGGGATTATATTTTATGCCAGGAAATGAATAGAAGAGTAAGTGTCTCTGAATAAGATCCCATCTTAATCTCTAGGAGACTGGAAACTTCAGTTCATTCAAATCTCTACGCATCAAATTTAAAATGGCTTAGAAAGTATTTTGAAACTATTTACTTACTAGTAAACTGACTTCTGAGCCAGTAAAAAAATCCAGCAATCCAACGGAGTTTAAACCCTTCTTTGTAAGGTCCTTAGATAAGAACCAAGATGCTTAGCAGCTGATTGCTGCCACACTGAACCTAGGAAGACCCACAGACAATGCTAACAAAGACTATCCCTAATCAAGTCTTCAACCCTGGATCACTCAGAATCCCAAGGGGAAATGTGTCCCATTTCCTTGTACTTGCCTTTTTCAGATAAGCTGAAAAGCTCTATAAAGCCACAGATTTAAACACAAGGATATTCTTTCAGCATCAGGATCAACCAAGAGTCTACTTAGCACATATAATCACATTGCACATTCATTCAATTATACATTTATTAACCTCTACTTGCTCTAAATCAGAAGCCATTCTAGGTGCTGGGGATCCCAAGATGAACAAAACAATGTATTCTTACCCACAAGCAGCTCTCAGTTTTTTTAAAAAGTATTTAAAAAATATATATTTTTATTGATTTCAGAGAAGGGAGAGGGAGAGAGATAGAAAAATCAACAATGAGAGAGAATCATTGATTGGCTGCTTCCTGCATGCCCCACACTGGGGATCGAGCCCACAACCTGGGCATGTGATCTCCTGGCTCACAGTCTGATGCTCAACCACTGAGCAACACTGGCCGGGCCAAAAAACAATAATATTTTAAGCCACAGTTGTAGTAGGCACTAAGCCATAGCTGAAACCAAAGGCTCAAGAGAGATGGGCTATGGAACAGTACATGGGAGGTGTGAATGGAAAGGAGACAAGACCACTGAAGACAGGAAAAGGAAACGGGGGCATAATCCTGGCCTTGGGCGTCAGGGACTCACTCAGAGTCTAGACCTGCCATTACCAGCAATGCAAACAATTTTGTTTTTGCAACTAGTGTGTATTTTATATTTTAAAATTTTTAATCACCAAAAAATTCTTTCTTTCTAGTTTTAAAGATCAAATGAGACCACTGATGAAAGTATGTAGCCCAGAGCTGATCAGTGGGAAGATCAACTAGTATACACGTTTTTAAAAATGCAGTATTCCCTAATGAATGTTCAATATAATTGTGCTAATATACTTCACATTAATACACTTTATGAATACAACTTTGTTCATGATCACAATACAGAATGAGAGAGAGTGAAGCAGCAGGGTTCCCAAAAAAGTAAAAGCTTTCAAATCAGCCAGACCTAAAATCGAAATAGGGTTCCAGCTCTTGACAGCCAACTGCCTTACCTTACAGAAGCTATTTCACAGGGTTGTAAAGATGAAATGTTAGGGATAAAATCCCTCAACATAGTGACTGACACTCCTCAAGTATTAACTTCACTCTCTGGGACCCCTAAATAAATTCATTTCACACCTGTCCTGGCACTGAGTTCTGGCTCTCCAAATGCAAAGCCAGCACTATCTAGTCCCTGTCCCCCCAGGGTGAGGGAGGGAGGAGACATTCTTCTCTCTGCCCCCTGGTGGTGCAGCACGGCTCCACCTGACAGGGATGGGACAGTAGACACTGTCTGGGCTGGTGGAGACAATGGCAGTGTCTGAGGCAGAATCTCAATAATGTTTTGGCCCCCAAGCCCCACAGTAATTTCTCATCAATTCTATAAGCTATTCACACCCATCCAATAAATTCATTTTTGCCTTAAGTAAACAGTCAGTACCTGCTGTTTATAAACAAGAACCCTGACTAGTATACTTTTGTAAAACTAATAAAAATAAATTAGTATCAGTGCCATGAGATTATTTTTAGTATCTTCTTCTCCATGACTGAATATACAAAGACAACGGAAGTAATGTATTCTTCTGCTGTAAAGATGGGTGGAATATATCAAAATTTACTTGTTGAATTTTCTTTAAATAGTCCTCCAGAGCAACCTGGAAAAAGAGAAAAATGGTCACTAGATCATAGGATGATTAAGTCTTTAAAATAAACTAAAGAAACAGTAACAGTATTAAGGCTATTTTAGTTTCCCTGAGGTGGTCTTTAATATACTAAGAATTTAAATGAGAATTTTAAAAGGGAGAGAGAAAATAAAGACATCTTCTAAGAAATTTATATTAGGCCGGTGAAACAGGATCATAGAACTAGTACTGGAAATATCATAATTTATACTGTTCTGGTCAAAATGTAAAAGATCAGAGAAATTACAGTTTACCAGGTTTTTTTACTAGACTGCAGAATATAAAAGGGATGTTTCAATCAAGGAGAATGAACACCACGCCAAAAAAATGCATTGTATCATGAAGAACTCAAGCTGTTTGTTTAAAAGATTATATTGTTAAAAAGTTTAGTGGATCTGCATGCTCTTGCAAGAAAACGATTTGCACCTAAGGAGAACAATCACAGGTCCCTACACATGTCACCCATGCTTCCCCCATCACAGAAAACTTGACAAACTTTCATTGTGATGGGGGAGCAGGTTGGAAAACACTGACAATGACAATGTTTGTTATTTTATGGTTCTCACTTATTTCTACTAATTTATAAATTATTTATTTCAGTAACTTTCTTATACAGAGAAGCCACTTGGTTTTGCACTGAACACTTCCAAAGGCACCACTCCCTTCTCAGTCCCGTGCGCAGCTCCCCTAGAGTTCCTCAGCACAACCTGTGTGATCCAGAGATCATGCTTGTGGAGTCTCTAGAGCAGAGGTTCTCAACCTTCCTAATGCCGCGACCCTTCAATACAGTTCATGTTGTGGTGACCCCCAATTTCACTGTTACAAATTGAACATAATTAAAGCATAGTGATTAATCACAAAAACAATATGTCATTATATATGTGTTTTCCGATGGTCTTAGGCGACCCCTGTGAAAGGTTGTTCGACCCCCAAAGGGGTCGTGACCCACAGGTTGAGAACCACTGCTCTAGAGTATACAGAGGAGGAAAAGAAAACAAAAAGGATTGGATTTTCTCCTAAACACTTATATACAGATGAGTGTAGACATAAATACATTCAATATCTACTTTTAAACCCTAAACTTATACATATATGCATAACAGGAGATATGTGCATGAATGTGAACAGCTGCCTTGTGTTATATAAGCAAAACACCCAGAAATTCTTTGACAAAAAAAGATAAACTTCACACAATGAAATTTTATGTTGCAGTAAAATAAATGTGCAATAGCTATATGTAATAATATGAGTAAATTTTAGAAACGTGTGTGTGTAACCTAGAAGACAAACAGAAATGACCCATTTTTATAAGCCTCAAAAACAAAAGTAAGCAACATCCTGTTTAGGATTACATAAAATGGGAAAAGTTTTTTGGAAATAAAAGCAAAATCATAATAAATACAAAATTCAGAATGGCTTTTTGGAGGAAGAAGGCAGAGGCAGTGTACTTTAATGGTAACATTCTAGTTCCTGGGTTGAGTGGTGAATTTGTGGGTGTTCATTATGTTATACGTTATCATACATACATACATATACAGGTATGTCATATTCATTTGTAAATATCAAATATTAAACATTTCAAAAGAGAGAACATATTTTAGTGCAGTTTCTTCTACATTTAAAAACAGAGCTCATGTTACAGTTCCCCCAGTGATTCTAAAGGGCATCCAGAGTTAAGAACATTATTCACAGAAGTGAACAAAACAGACAAAGTCCTTGGCCTTCATGGGAGCTTAACTTAAAGAGTAAATTAAAAACAGATGATGGTGCATCCTCAAATATCATTAAGACCTAATAACCAAATAACCATTAAAAATGGTGACAGAGAACAGTGTATGTTGACACAGAAGGAAATGCTTAACACCCCATTTATACAAAAATATACATATGTAATTATATGATCATAAAAAGTCCAGAAAGATAAACAGACTCTCTCTCTGGAAACGATGGAATTGAGAGAGGATTCTTATTTCTTCCTTTGCCTCCTCTAATACGCTGTGAACATCTAAATTATTAATGTATTACTTTGTAATAAGCAAACCCAGTAAAGAAATAAAATGATTGGGAACACTCAGATCTGAGACCTAGAAGATCTGAAAGGGTAAAAATGAATCTTTAAATATATTTTTGGGGAAAAGGTAGAAGATATGTTTGGTATTGTAGAAAATGCATGAGTTTTCAATTTTTAAAGATCACAAATCTTTGAACTTTGGTTTTTACCTATAAAATAAAGGAAATCATGCATAAGGATGATTAGGAATAATGTCTGAAATGACCTAATTCAGAGCCTGTCCTGTAATAGGTGCTAATTGGAAGCTATTCTCATTTCTTTATATATTTTTCAACAATTCCCTAACTTGGCTACACATCAGAAGCATCTGGGGAACTTATTAAAATCACAGTTTCTCCTAGGAGTTCCCCCTCCTCAATCCCAAGTGTTATTTAGTAAGAACACCCCAGGAATCTGTATGCTTTCAAAGCTTTCCCAGGTATATGATGCGGCAGCTCAGCACTGGTCCATGAGCCACACTGCTCAGGAGCCAGTGCTACAATGTGGTCCCAGTGGAGAAAATATTACTAGAATAATAAGTAGTATTTATATAGCTATAAGCAGCTTAACAACCCTACAAGACAGTGTCCCACATGATTCCCATTTTACCTACGAGTATACTGAGGAACATGGCGGTTAGGGACCTTAAACCCCCACGGCTAGTAAAAGGCAAAGCAGATTCAAACTGCTGCTCTCCTCACTGGCCTCTGGGAAATACAGGCATGGCCATTGCCTAAAGCGGAAGGCAACTAAGAAACCCACCACAAGGAAGAGAAACAAAAATAAAGCCACCAAACTAAAGATGTGCATTTGAATCTCATAAAACAAAAAAAGGTCATATACACCTGCTTCATTCATTAAGCAGCCTTCCCTGTTAATCTACTTACCGTCTGAAGAAAGGCAGGAAATGCCTTCACAGGAACACTTTTGTGGAGGGACCTAGCCTAAGAAGGAAGACAAAAGGAAACTGGTTTGAAATATAAATATTTCTGGAAATAAACACTCTCTCTCAGAAAGTGAACACAAAGCAACTGGTCATTTAACAATACAGCTAGGGCCTCTCCCAAAAGCAAGAAAACAGCTCTCACTCCTGCAGATTACAATTAATTTCTTAAGCTTAAAGGACTCAGGAAAAAGAACTGTATTAAGAATTCCATTCTCCCTTACCAGTTGACTTTGGCATTTTCCGGCTGTCTTATAACATCCTGTAAGTTTGACCCTCCAGCTCTGTGGTTGGGGGTAAATGAAGAAAGACCTGTGTTCACAAGTCCCAGCACCTCCCAGCTTAGACGGTCATTATCTCCTGTTTAGATGAATAGAAGATCCTCCTAGCTGATCGTTCTGCTGTGTTCCCCAACCTTTAAATCATTCCACACAGCCAGCCAAGTTAATGTTCCTAAGTCACTGTTTTATGTTTATTTTCTTTAACATATGTCCCTCATTGAGCAAGTCTCAACTATGCATGTTGGGATTCAGAGGCCTCCACACCTTGACTAACCTCATCTAACTCACCTCCCTACTTCTCTGAACTAGGAATCCCCGAAGCTCTCAGGCTGATGCCCACCTGCTCTCACCAAGCCCACCCGTTTCCAGGCCTTTGTGTACACTGTCAGATACCACCTCTGCTTCCTGACTCACATCTTCACCCCTCCCCTCTGTTTCACCAGTCTACTAAAATTGCTCTCTTCAAAATCATCCACACCCTACTATTCACCCTAACTCTTTTCTCTTCATCTCCCTGTAGCATGCACAGTTTTCCTACTCCCCATTCTTGGAATTTGTTCCTTCCTTGGTTTCTAACACACTGACTCTCAGTTTTCCTACTTCTTTGATCATTCTTTCCTTCTTCTTCCTAAGAAATGGCACTTTCTCCTTCCACCTGAGGAATGGAGGTGGGCCACAAGGTTCTGCCCTAAGTCCTCATCCAGATGTACATTCTCCTTGGGCAACGACATCCAAACTCAGAGCCTTAACCATTTCCTTCCATGTGGATGGCTCCCAAATCTCTCTCCAGTTCTCATCTCCTTTCAAAGTCACAATCCTGTATTCTTTAACAGCCCATCTCCCTAAATGTCTTCTAATCCCCTTCTATTCATTGATGTCCAGCAGCTAGTCTGTCTACTGATCCTAGTGTGCCACTGCTCTTTTACTACTATAGTCTTTGAATGGCCCCATCACCATCTCTACTTGAACTCTGTGCAGCCTTCAACTTCCCCTCTTCCTGATCCTGCCACAATCCAATCAGTTATCAAGTCTAGTTGATTCTAGCTCTGGGTTGTGTGCGTGTGTGTGTGTGTGTGTGTGTGTGTACATACATAAACATCCACCTTCTCTAAATCAGACACTCTTAAATGTGGCAAAAGGAGATTATTCACTAGTGATTATTATTAGAGCAGCAGGATGAAAGCCAAATTACAGCATGAAGTGTCAGGGCGGTGAGGGCCTTGAGGTAACAATGAATGCAGACCACTTATTCAAAAAAGGTTAATTGTGAGGGAAAAATAAGAAACAGGAGGGTCCACAGGATGCCGATAACTTCAGAAGGCAGCAGCAACAAACCAGAAGATAAGAGAGACAAGTTATCGGAGAGGCCAACTGAAAACCCCAGCTGGGACCCTGAGCATGCAAGGTCCTGGGAAGGGAGGAGAGGCATCAGCCCTGCAAGGCAGAAAGACACGCCGCCCGAGAGGCAGAAATGGTGAGTGATGATCAGAGTGGGACCTAACTGAGGAAGCCCAGTAAAGGGAGCACACATTTGCTGAAAGGGAGAAAGCGGTATTTTTTAAAAGTGGAGAAAGTTTACAATAGTCCCTGAGATAAATCCACTGGGATTTCAATGAAAGTTGGAATACAGTCTGCCAAGTAGGGAACAGTATGATCTAGGAACAGCCACACCTAGAAAGGATAGTTTCCTAAATGATTTGGGGGGGGGGAAGGGGAAGGCTACTTACATGCTTCAAGTGCAAGTG